AAAGCAGCAAAGCGAATTGGTATTAATAAAAAAGTTACATTTATTGATGTAAAAGTCTTATATGATAAAGCAGACAATATTTACTACTCTATAGAAAAGCATTTCAGTAATGCAGAGTTCAAACGATTTAACGTCAATAGTGGTCTAATTACAGAATTTCATTCTATTCTCGAAGCATTTGCACATTTCACTTATCAATACACTGAAGGATATTTGGTAGTTTATGACTTACAAGGAGTTGATCTCGATAATGAGTTCTTATTAACAGATCCAGCTATACATTGTGTTGATTTATTAAGATTTGGAATAACGAACCTTGGAAAGAGTGGTATTCAAAGATGCATTTTGGCAAATCATAAATGCAATAATATTTGTGAAAAGTTAAATTTAAAGAGTATTAATTCGGAATGAAAGAATCCAGAAATAGTTTTTAGCGAGTCATAATTTCATTGATATTTACGAGAAAATGATAGGTACATCACTGTTAATTCTAGCTATTAGGTTTTTCTATAAATATTATTATTATATAAGTTAATTGTAATTTATATATGTAAGTTAAACCTGATATTAAAATTTTACGCAATTCTTAATATATTAAATACTATTTTGTATACATTGGTTTTCATATCCGATCGTGTAAAATTTTTATTTTTGGTTCGTAGGAGCCTTTACGCAAATTCATGTGATTAATTTAACACGTTGAATCGTTTTAGACTTTATCCAATAAAACTTTCCACTTGTTTAACTTTGCTCGGATTTTTATAACATTTAGACATCTGGTGACATTCAAATATTAAACAAGATAGGTATTTTGTATTGGTGTTTGGACTTGTGTCAACCCGTAATTCACGAATTAAACTCAAGAGTTCTCGAATCATTTGAGTCAATTCGTTCGAGTTTTACTCGAATTATTTGAGTCTTAAAAGTTAAATCACTATTCACCAGTGTTGGACGATGATGTCCTAAATGACATGATTTGTCATATTACATTATCACATGAAATGTCATATATTAAGTACTGTAATATTTATTTCACGTTTTATCATAGATATCATTAAACATCACGGATCAATCAAGATATCAAAATATTATTTTATTATATTACTATTAGATAATAAAAAGATATTTCTAATATTAAACTCATATTGTAATTATATTATAAAATATATAATATACATCAAATTAAAAGTGGTTTAATAGAACAAAAAAATATTTTTAAAATATGATAAT